GTCGAGGGTTTGAAGTTATTGCTGTTGGACTGGTTCGGGGAATTGCTGCGCCGCACGAAGCCGACGCCTGCATGGGCAAAATACGGTGATGAGGATAGGCGAACGACCTGTTCTTGTAGGAAGTCTTCGGTGGCGACGCAAGTGGGACGTTCCAATGCCCGGCTCTGTTCACCCGGGTTCGAGTAATTTGAGGTATTAATGGGACAAATTGACCAGGAGCTCGGATAGGGCAGGGTAGAGATCAATGGGATGATGTTGATATGGCGAGAGATGAGACCTTGAATATCGACTCAAAATGTGAGAGGGAGGCATGGCGCACGGCCGTACAGTGGCAATTGGCATGGTGAGTCGGTGACCAGTTTGAAGTTGACAACTATTGTCCAAGCCGTACTGGACACGGTGACCGCAGAGCGGCTTGCACAGAGGGCACACGTGCATCACATTTGAGGCCATTCTAACCCGCAATTACATGCCAGAAAATGTACGTCGTCACTTATGCTACACGGTGAGCTACTAAGCGGAATATCGACTTGAAGGCCCAGTAATACGCAAAGCCAAGCGGAAAGACGGAAAAGGCGATGGCGATGGTCTGAATCAAGTCGCCCACGTTTCGCAAGCGCGTCGGAAGCTCGACGTACTGCGTCGCGAGGTCAGGACTCTTGGCTTGACCGGCTCCCTGTCGTTGCTGCATCTTGTACGCCCCGCGCACAAAGTCGCCGTCCTGGTAGAAGCGATCCATGAGCTGGTCTTTGAGCTGGTACCGTTTCCTGAGCCACAGATCGAACGCTTCTCGCTCGGCTTCGCTCGGCTGATATGCATCCGCCCCGCTCGCTTCCGAACTTGGGGGCAACGCACCAACAGGCGGGACGCGCATTGCCTGTGCGTCCCGCGCTAGCGGGTCAGCGCGTGAGGGCACCTTGCTAATGATGCAGTTCATGTGCACCGCCGGCGGCGGCACGCCCTGCACGTAAACTGTGCGCAGCGTGTAGTAGCTCTGACCGTAACCTGCCGGCGGGATGCCGGGGTATCCAATCGTGTAATCCTGAGAGGAAGAGCATTGCGGCAGGGAGCATCGTCAGTGATCCAGCCTGCGAGACTGGTAGGCAAGAAGCACTTTGTATGGATGTATGATAATCTGCTCACAACCAGGTAGAGGTCGTCGATCTCAGCCGCCATGGTCCGCAGGCAGAACAATAGACCCGTGCTTCTCGGCAGCAGCATATTTCTGAGGTCACTAATGCCCAGCTTGTCTGCGAAAGCCCTGCTCTTTGGTTTGGTGAGCTTCGAGACGAGTGTACCCTCGGGGAAGATGAGCAGCAGCACCTTGGCTAGATGTGAGGAGAACGAGCCAGCGATCGATGGTGGCGGAAGCGACTCGTTTGTGGCTTGAATTTTACCGTTAGCATTCGACGTGCGAGTGCTTCCGCCATCACTTTTCTTACAATACGCAGCTTGTGAAGCGGCAGCACGCCGTCCGGCATCGCGGGCGCGTTTGACGAGCGCAGAGAGCTGCCTGGCCAGCGGCATGCGATCCTCGAGCCAGCTCTGCTTAAGGAAGATGAAGCGGTAAAACTGCATGGCCCAGCCGAAGATCGGCACGTGCTTGAGCGATGCTTTCATCAGGATTGTGATCGAACCGGCAAGGTCCGCGTGGTACGCCAAGCACCAGAGGTAGATCCAATCAGTGTAGATCTGTGGACAGAACAGGGATGGTCCATCATGGTGAGCAAGAGCCTCGCAAGCCACGAAGAGGTTGCGCGCATTACGCTGGCGCAAGTGCATACCTGGTGATTGGAGATCCACACGCTCCTGTCCGGCATCTTGAGCAGCGTGATTTTACCCTTTGGATCATCGCTTTTCTTTCTCGAGTCCCTTGTGACGAACTGTTCCGGATCTAGCGGGTTGCCTTCTTCGTCGGTAAAAGTGAGAACGAGCTTGGTGGGTGCGAGGAGCTGGCTGACGGACACGAGAATGCATCCAAAGAAGCGCTTGTACGGGTACGAAATGATTTCGTGGAATGGCTGGCTGGAAGGGAACACGGCGAGCGGTAAGATCAGGTACTGGGATATATGCGGCATACCGCAGCTGATGACCATGTACAGCAGGACGAGCGTGGCGGTGAGAAGGTGCCAACTCTCGTGCCGTTGGGTGATTGGAACCGCATATGTGTCCTTTGAGCCACCGGAGACGGTGGAAGTCGTTGTTGTTGGGGCCATCTTGCCTTTAAGAAGCGCCGAACGAGCACAACCTCGACGGTGCTTGAGGTCGGCTGGGCAGTCACGCTGCGCGACGAGCTTCTGGTATCGCGTCCACGGTTGATTTGAGACACGAAGAAACACTTTGCGCAGGCGTGGCGGTCAAGCAGGGAACATGCTGTGCATGAATTGATAGGCCATGTAGCTTCTCCATGCCGGTTTGTACTGAGGGACTTTCATTAATCAGCACATTCACCCTCACAGCTTCTCTTACGTGCAAAGAGCGAGAGATGACCTCAAGCGGAGGAGCGTTGGCCCGTGCGCATGCGCTTTGATATGATGTCTTGCTTCAGGCTGCACGCTTCTGTTCCGCCTTGCGGCTTCTGGACGTGTCAATGTGAGGGAGCTTCCCCGCGACCCGTAACCCTACTCTCCTACACTCTGGTGGTGGATCCACACTCCGCTGGCGGGGCCGGCCGCATTCCGCAGCGATCAGAAAAAAGCCGTCGCGAGAGACGCGTCCCGGACTGACACACATCTAGGCAGCCTCTCTGTTGTCGACGTGTTGCATGTGCGCAGTTCGTACGACTCTCATCGCAGACATCACCAGATGAAATATCTCCTGGATCGCACGATCGCTCCTCAGAGAGGGTCACCGTCCTGTATTGGTGACAGCATTAACGGGAGCTAGCCATAATACCGATCACATTGACGGGCGTGACAGTCCATCACGGACCCTTGCTGGACGCTGATCTCGCTCTCAAGGGCCTCGGTGGGTGCTTGGCCCACTCTTCCATCCATCTCTCCCACTCGCCCACAATCAAGTGTGCCCGCGATGGTCTTCTTCCTCTCCCTCCCCATCTTGGTCCTCAATTCGGCAGCGACGTTTGTCTACCCGCTGTATGCCTCCTACAAGGCCATCACCTCCACCACGCGCCCCGGCTCAACCGTATCGGTGTATTCGTGGGGAGCCCGGCATGACACGAGTGTCGCTGCCGCCGGCGCGAATGCAAGTAGTTCCGGTGGGGGCACAGAGTTGGCAGAGTTGGAGACCTGGTTGATGTACTGGAGCGTCATTGCCTGCATTCAAACGGTCGAAGCCTTCTTGGAGTGGTCTTGGAGCTGGTGAGCGCTTGTCTCTATGCGAATCATCGAGCTCATTTCTCTAACACGGAGACGCTCTTTTGCAGGATCCCATTCTACTTCGAGCTCAAATTGCTCTTTACACTGTGGCTCGTGCTGCCGCAGACAAAGGTGAGTGGGCACTTTTTGGTTGGTTGTAACAAGTGCGGCAGTGGACTGACTTTTTTCGCTATCGGCAGGGAGCCACCTACCTTTACATTCATCACGTCGCCCCGTTTCTTGCCGCACATGAGCAGGATATCGACGTAGCCCTTGGAGCAGCCAAATCAAAGCTGAAAGCGTCCGCCATTGCATCGCTCGAGAAGGCTTGGAACTCGCTGCGCGATGCAATGCTCAATCTTGCCCTGGTACGTTGCTCTTGCACCAGCGGCCCAGGCACACAACCGTGCAATGATACTCAGTGGACCTGTCGTTTCCCTTGACCTTATAGTCTCAACCGGCGGGATCAGCATCAGCACCAATTGCAGGAAACGACGGCAGCGCAGCCGCGCCTCCCTCGGTACACAACCCCGCGCAAGGGCCCGCAGCACAGCTGATGGATCTCTTTCGCTCTTTGGCGCCCGCCGCAGCTTCGGGCGCGACAGCCATCCTTGACCGCGCTACCGCCGGCGCCAAGGAGTCGAAGGCGCCCATCGTCGCCATGACCAAGCCTGGAAAAGGAGGCCGGCGGGCGGTTTCTGGAAGAGCAGGGGCAGCATCAGCATCAACATCAACATCAGCATTAGCGGCAGCAGGGGGCACGATGGACCGTGCGCAGGCCGCAAGGCGGCGAGCAGAGCTGGAGCACCAGCTGGCTGAGCTCTATGCACAGGATCAGCAGACTTCAGCAGCAGCAGCGTCTACCGGAGTCCGCGTACGGAGGGTGCCTGCCAGTCTGCAGCCAGGTGGAGGTGCCAGGCCGCGCGCGGCAAGTGCAGCGGCTCGTGCTTCCGACCCGGCTCACCAGCAGCAGAGGGCCAACCGGCTTGTCAGCCAGCCCATTTGGAGCGGCGGCAACGCAGAGAACGACAATGGCTCTGACGATATGTCGGACGAGCCAGCGTACGTCGTGGCGAGCAAGTCAGAGAAGTCAGCGCTGAGCGGCAGCTACGCAGTGCTCGATAAGACCGAAGGTAGCAGCAATGTCGTACGCACCGCGGGAGGCGCTGCGAGAGGTGCTGCGCTCAAGAAGCAGCAGCAACAACAACCGGGAAATGGGGCGGGCGCGAGGGCAGCAGCTGGGTCCGGCGTCACCGCGGCGAAGGCTCGAGTTAGCGAACAAGCCGCAGAGGACAGTGGCTGGGGTGCATGGCTACGCGGCTCCAACTGAGTATCGCGTTTCGCTACGCCTGTCTTCACTCCCTCGCACGCACTCTCGCTTGCGCCACAGGTTCGTTCCCTGCATGGACATATCCTTGATAGTCAGCCCGTTCGTTTTCCCCATCACACATTTGATTGTCCCTTTTGCAGCCTAGCATACGCATCGCGCCTCTTCCGACCATCTCCGTACATCTGTGTATCGTCTCAGGGCCCAGCATTTTCAATCTGTAGTTGTATCTGTAGTTGTAAATGTACAACCATCATTGTTTTCTCCAATCCTGCCTCTTCTCTTTTGCCAATGACAATTCAATTTTATTCATTTATGCAGGCTTCATTATGGCGGCCGCTGGCGAGAGCCTGGCAATCGCAAGCGCGACCTAGCTGGGAAGCAATGATGCAAGATGTAGATAAGAGTGCGTGAACTGTACGCGATCTGTAACGCAATCAAATCACGCCTTGCGCCAGTTTTTGCAGGAGCCTCATGGCACTATCCTCTTCCTGCGAAAGCAATGCGACTCGGCGGATTTGAGACGGCCGTCCTCTTGGCTGAACTACAAATATCATGCCAATAGACTCTGGCGATCAAAAGGCCTGTGGCTAGAGGCCACTCTTTTTCTCAGGCATGCAGCACATAAGATTATGGCCAAGAGTCCAAAAGTCACTAAATGATCGAGTCTTGCTGCTTCACGCGTCGCTATGTGCGCATAGGCATGTCTCGGTGCGACGGGAGCAGGAGGCCTCTGAGCTGGCACATCCTCCTTCTTAACGCACCGAGTGGTCTCTTCCTTCTCCCCTCTACGCACAATTCCCAAGTCAGCAGTAAGCTTTGTCTCTTGGGATCCCAAAGATGAAATCAATAGCAGGCGCAGAGGGTGTGAAAACTTTGGAGAAAGAAGAGGCCAATAGTCAGCGAACAGAAAGATGAAAGAAGAAAGCTATCGCATATGGGATGGACGGCTGAGTGAGAACATCTGAGTAGCCAATGATGACAGAAGCAAAGCACTCAAAAGGTCGATCAGCCAGTTCCGAATTACAGATTCCGAGTTCCGTCTCTTTTTTCCGTTTCAACCTGTGAACATGCCACAGCTTGCTCCATCTCATCCGCATCCTGCGCTGAAGAGTGTGCTTCGCAGTCCTACGCTTGCATTATCCACGCCAGGAGGGCTACGTGCTGCGGGGACCTTGCTTGTGCAGAAAGCTCTCTCAGCGCAAGTTTTCGCGATGACAGCTGTAATCGGTCAAGCGTCAGCACTGCTCTCGCTGCTGGATCAAGGCTCTTCGTCCTCCGCCTCGGGCCTGTCTCTCGAGCGAGCGTCAGCGGTCCAAGACGAGTTCTTGCACGCTATTCAAGAGGCGAAGATTCTAGGTTCTTTGGCAGAGATTGCTTTTGGCACGTCCGGGACCAACTCCGATGATACCCAAGGCCAAATCCACCCTCACGCCCAGAGTAATGGCAAGGAGAGCTTTGCAGCTACGGCGCTAGCAGCAAATGCTTCATCTTTGCTGGTAAAATTTTCGAAACGTGCAAACTCGCTGCTACCGGGAACAACTCCTCACCACAAGCAAGACACTTCTTCCCTGATTCAATCACATGTACTAGGCTTCAATCTTGCCCTCGCGCTCACCCGTCAAGTGGGCTGGCCGATCATTTCGTTTGAGGACAACGCGGTCCTATGGCTCAGCGCCGCCTTTCAGATTCTACAGGCTTTCTGCAGCCCTACGACCGCGCAGAACCATATCAGCAGCGCGAGAGAAGAGCACATGCTGGAATCTGCGATTGAGCTCGCCGGAAAAGAAATTCTTGGCTTGGCAAACGGTTCGGCTGCTGGTAAGAGCGGCAATGCAGGCGGTGTGATGCAAGGTGGAGAGTTCATGCGCACCGTCATCACTCCCAACCTTCCCAAGTATGCTCAGCTCCTAACCAGTGCGCTGGAGAGCTCACAAGGGCGTGGTGATTTGCGGGCAGTTGTGAGTGGAGGGGCTTAGCGTCGCACATTCTCCTCACAAAGCAAACTTCTGACCCCCCCCTTTTCTGTGCGCTTTCTCTCAGCGCGTCTTGCTCGATGCAATCACATCCGAGCTGCATACCTATTCATCTCTGTATCGCCCTCTGAGCGCACGCATCCATGCGTGTTGCATTCAGCTGCTCTTCCCTCCACATCTCTCTCCATACGCGCTGCCTCCGCTGGAGCTAGTTCAATCCGCAAGCAAGCTGCTCATCAACCTACACCGTACAGGGGCTTTGTCTTCCAAGGTCAATGGTGCCGAAGCATTGAGCAGCACAGAGAATACTGCCGGTCGGGCCAACACAAGAGCCACACAAGCGCAGCTGTGGACCGCTACTATTGAAACAGCAATTGGAACATTCCAGACCTTCGTTGATGCGAGCGTCAGCACAATCCTGCCATCTGCAAGCGCAAATCCGTCCCATCAAGCATCATCGTCGAGAGGCTCGAGATCTATACAACGCCCGACGTTTCAGATCCACGAGGACTGGCGACCCGACGAAGGACAAGACTCGGTGCTCGAGCACACATCGCATCTAACATTCCTGCGATACAGCCTCTTTGTCCTGCTCGAGATGCTGCGACAACCAACAGCACCGCAAGCTGTCATCTCGCTGCCTCTGCGCTCGTTTCTGCTTTGGGCCACCGGCATCAGTCCTCCTTCTTGCGGCGTGCTCCGCATGACGCGCAAGTACAGCGTTCAGCGACCTGGGACAGAGCAGAGCGTTTTCGTGCTTCAGATGACGAGCTTAGAGGCTACGACGCAGCAGGCTGTCTTGCTGGTATTGCTTCGCTTGTTCTCGCTCGCAGGTGCAGGCGCACTCGAAGCCGTGCGTCCCCCTTCTTCAAGTGATGGAGACGCTGGCGGGTCGTCGCTGCTCTGGACGTTAGTCGACCTGTACGATGCCAACACCAGCGCCAGAGGCAGTCAATCGCCATCAGACTTTGGCTCGTTGCTGCTGCGATCGATAGCCTTTCTCATTGGTGGCAATCTCGTCAGCAAGGGAGAAGATCCTACACATGGTTTGGCGCTTCCACTAGAACCTTCGTCACGCCTGGTTTCCCGACTATCTAAGCTCAGCGCATCGACACTCGCTCGGTATCTGCTCGGATCGACTACGCGCGAACGCCTCGCATCTCAAGGAGGCGGTGCTGCAAAGTTGGTCGAACTTAGCACCTCTGGGCGACCCAGCAAACGGTCCAAGAACAGCTCTGGTCAAGCATTCAACACCGACACGATTTTCGGTAGCGTCGGCAATGGCATTCCCGCGCACATCTCGCGGGACGAAGCTGCTGGTGTACTGGCAAGCTTTAACATCCTTACATTCCTCTACCCACACCTGACGGCTAAGATCAGCGCCGACACGGCGGATCTCGCAACGATGACTGCGGCTCTGGCGCGGGCTACCGTTGAAGCGACGCTCGTTTCAGGCGTTGTACTTTCTACAAGCTTTGCCTGTGGACAGAAGGAAGCAGCAACGCTGCAGGTCAGGATTGTGGTCGGCAGCTTACACTTGCTCGACGTAGTCCTGCACCATTCAACCAGCTCGACGCTCGCGCTGATCTTGACTGGCTTGCACGTAATGCTTTCACCCGCCGCCACAGATTGCTCGGGTACGTTCGACCCAATGGTCCGAACTGCGGCTCAGCGATGCCTGGCGACGTTGCAGAAGATTGTACAACCGCGGATGGTGCCGGTGCCAGAGTGGAACTTGGACGTCGTGGATACCAACATCGCGTGGGGTTCCGCCAACCCGGCAGACAAGGAGGAGAAAAAGGTAGACATTGATGACGCGCACAAGCGTGCATGGCTGGAAACAGCCGCAAAGGACGTGTTGGAGTTGGATGTTGACCTGGAGTGGACGGCCGCCTCGGCAAACCAACTTGCGCAAGGTGGGCCTGCAGCTCCGCCGGTGCGGTCCTCCGCTGTGCATGGGTTGCAAGGCACGGGCAGCAATCATTCACGGCAGTCACCGCCGGCGATATCGACAGATGCAAGGCATGAGGAGAAGGATGTCGAACCAATTGATCAAGTTGGTCAAGCACAACCGAAGCGCATACATGCGCCGCTTGCAAGTAGTACGGCCATTGAATCGGTATTGCAGCCCATTTTGGCAGCCTCCGCTGAGACGATTGACGCTCCGACTGCGCCAACGGACGGTCTGTTTGCAGATGCAGATGCGGCTGTGGATACACGCGCCCCTACGCCGGGCACCAGCAGCAACCTCCCGGCCCCTGTGGCTTCGTCCGCAGTCTTTGAGCGAGCAGACGACGGAATGCACGATGACAGTGATAGCGACATTCCAAGCATCGATCCTGGGATGAGTGATGACGAAGATGAGCTGTAATGATGTACTCTTATGGTGCAAAAGAGATAACTGAATGCAAGGCATTGTCTCATCGCATATGTGAATGGCGTGCCCTCTTACTCCAGCGACAGACCATTGGCTGCACCACGAAGTTATGCATAAGGCTGCTCCTTGAGCGGTGTTTGCCTGTGACGGCAAATTTAAGAATACGTCATCCATACGTGCCTGGCAGGCGTCCTCAGGCGAGCTGGGGATACCCACAACAGCTCTTTTAAAGGTGGCGAGGCATCCGTGTGCACCTCGTACACTTACTGCATCCACTTACGCGAGTGACCGCTAATCTGCTCGTTGAGCGTAAGGAGGTCATGTGTGACTTGCAATCGTCGATCCAATGATGGCGGCTGCGGGGGCCAAGCTGGCTAAGAGCGAGAATGCGGATAGAGATGGCTGCGCAAAGGTCTCCAAGTAAGATGCATGCGAACATGCCCGCCACCTGATCTTGACTTTCGCTTGAGTCGCAAATGACCGGTCGTGGAAACATCTCGCTGATGAGAGCCTTCGAGAGTCAGTTGAGTGTGCAACAAGTATGGACCGGTACGTGGCAAGTTGATGAGTTCCTTCGATCTTTCCTTTTGGCATCGATTTGCTTGACTCAAACCTCTCAGACCAACGCATGCACAGATGCCTCCACCCCCCTCCTATGCTCGCCTTGCGGTCGGAGCAAAAGCTCTTCAACTTCGTACATACGGTCCATCAGCGAGGTGTTCAGTATGCGCTCCTTGATGACGAACAGTAATACGCGATCGAGTATATATTCCAGAGCCAGATGCGCATGTGCATCTCACTGGCGCCTTCCATCAGTTCGCCGGGCAGCAGTCAAACGCTCTGTCCGATGCCTTCCATGTGTGCCAGGCGAAGGGTATTTAAGACATTACTGAACCAGGCAAAAGTGGTGGTCATGTGGATGCAGCCCAGGGCGAGCGCGAGCATGCATCGCTCTCGGTCGACCCTAGTGCCTCCGGTTGCCGGCAAAGGCTTGTACATCGTCACTGCATATCGTTTTCTCGCTTGCCACATGTGTGCTAAGCTGACGCGCATCCCACGGGTGGCCGGGTTGTGCAAGTTTAGCGCCATGAGATGCAACGACGCAGCTGACCAGTCGATCGTGTAAGATTCGAGGTGTCTGTCGTGCCTGGTTGCAGATGGAGAGCGTATGCAAGCTCCTTAGCTCGAAGCCCGAAGTCCAGGAATTCAACTTGGGGCAATGTGGCGGTCGGCACCGTCGGCGTCACGACCAACAAATTGGACATCGACGCGCTGGACAAAATTTAGCTCCATGGGCAACAGCCAGGATGACGATGGCCTATTGATACCATGCCTGACTCGCTCCGTATTGGACATGTAAGGCAGAAGATTGTACTGTACCTCTTTGATTCGCTCCGCGTTGTGTGAGTCGTCAGTGAGGCCGAATCCCAATCGTCTGGAAGTATCGCTCGAAAGAAGTGGTCCTATGGCGCATGATAGCATCTGCAGTGCCTCGGCTTCCAAGGCGTCGTGAGCTTCGTCATCAAAGTAATGGATAGACCCGCAGGGCCAGAAGCTGCACTCACGAGTGCCCATCGATTCGTCGTGCAGCTCGTTCCAGAGCGGTGCACTCGTTAGACAGCTGGGCTCAAAGCCGACCCAGTCACCATTCCAATAGTCATAGAGGCGCGCTGTTGGGGCACTTTGAAACAAAAGTTGGTTCGATGTATCTGGGGGTGAAACGCACTAAGTGGATCTGCCCGCTTTGCTTCAACAGGCAGGAAGATAGTAAATGACGAGACCCACTCACCCAGCAAGATGTAGTTTAAGCACCTGATCCGGCAATTCGTCGGCGGATATTAGCATGAAGCGCTCTTGCGCGACAGGTCCTCTCTCCGTTCATTGATCCAATCAGGCAGGCGAAACCCATATGACACGTGCTGGGGTACATGACCTTGCCCTCGCGACATCGGATTGCGAACAACACAGTGTGCTCTTCGGCGCGGCAGGTTTGCGCGGTCATATGAGACATTGGTGCTGCCGATAGAAGGCGTTGCTGCAATGGAGAGCAAAGTGGACGCGACAGCCAAGTCCGAGGTCGATGCTGAGGCTGCACTTGACGTTGATGTGACTGGCAGGCCATTCTCGGAGTGAGCAGAAAGCCGCGAGGTCTTTCTGCTGCTTCTCCCTTTTCACGGAGCGCCTTCTGGACTAATGGCAGTAGGGGCTGCCGTGGTATTAGAGGAAAAAGACCGTGACGCACGGGCCGCAGCTAGCCCTGTGACTGATGCGGAAGTGGTGGTATGGGAATACGTCGAAGTTAAGAGTGAGGCTGCGCTCGAATTCAAATCCGTGGAATCTTTTTGCTGCTTGAGTTAGATGAGCTTATCTTTTGGTAGACCACTGGCTTCGAAAAGCAACGTCATTTCGTTTCGGATAAAGTCCTGGTTTCATTACGAGACCATTGTAAGAGCAGACTACACGGTCAAGAATTGCGTCGACGTGGGGCACAGCTGAAAGGAGTATCAGAAGAGACTTCAGTCGGCAAAGAGTAGTCAGGCAATCGGAGACACCGGAGCAGTGTAATACAGTAAAGATGGTGGGCATGCTGACCTTTCTTCTCCAACAATCCTCGCCTTTGCTCACTCCTGGTATAACGCAGACATATTGAGCACGTCGGGCTCTCGCGTATACCCTCCCTAGCGCTGCGTCCACATGCATCGCAAGCACGGCTACAGTGCCCGCTGTCCTGGGCTCACAGCTGCTTGATGAGCGCGTGTGCCGCGGCTGCATCCGATGTGGGCGACGAGGCAGCGGCCTCATTGCCGCCTGCGACAGCATTGGTATTGGCGTTGGCGTCGTTGCTCACAGGAAAGATCAGCACTATTGTCGGTTCTGACGCGGGCGTCAAAGCAACCGGTGTAGACGACATAGCAGCGCGGCCACCACAAGGGCCGCCTGCACCTGTGCTTCTTGCACCGTTGATTCACATAGTGCCTATGGTGGCGTCACCACATCGAGGCCTTTGGACTGACCATCGATTATTCGATGAGCAAGGCGCTTTCCTCGCAACGGTTGTCGCTTCAGTGTCCTTGCTCCAACCTCCGTACTCCGTTCCGGCCGCCGCCAAAGCGATCATTGCAGCGGGACGGAGGACGCGCAACTCCGGCGGCCGGCGCCTCATGGCCATCTATTGGCAGGTCTATGGGGTTCCGAACATGAGGTTGCACCGAATCCTGCCCCGAGCGGCGAGAGTCACCAGGTTGTGGCATGACCACATTGCCAGACAGCGCGCCCTTCGGTGGGCAGTCATTCGCACCCTCAGTCGCCATCGATCATCGACATCAGATTCAAGGCGGCCTTGGGCGCGATGGATGTGACTTATTACAGTTGCCCGTATCAAGGCTCAAGAGTGACTCCTGACGGCCAATAGCAGGCTGCCCGATCTGGCGGGGGAGACGTTGGCTATTGAGTCTCCACGACTGTGTGCCTCTTCTACAGATGCGACGGGAAACATATTGACCGCTATCACCTAGCTGATACAAGGGACGACCCGCCACCGCCACTGGCCATGCCCAAGTCCTTGACCATGTCAAAACAAGCACTTCGCGAGCGGGCTCTTCAGCTTGGTGGCTTTGACGATGACTATGACAGGTATCAAGATGGGCGAGGGGGAGGAAAGGCCATGGAGTCTGCCAGTCGTGGAAGAGATGCGTTTCGTCGCAGAGCTTGGTGAGGCGGAATGCTGTCCTGCGCTTGCGATCTTTTCGGCTGGAATCCTGAAGTTGTTCCTTTATAAATGATCCGAAAGGCTGCAGCTTCTTGACATAGACTGCCCACATGATTGGCCTGTAGAGCCTGCAGGTCACTCTCCTTCACAGAAGACACTTGCTACAACTACAGCCGCCGCCAAGACGAACGGGGCGCTTGCCTTACAGGAGAAGCAACATCGCGAAGCGCCTGAATTGCTCTCCGACGAAAAATATGCCCAGCAGCTGCACGAAGTGCTCAACGGAAGCGCTGCTTTCTCGCTTGATGAGCCTTCTGGTGCGCTGTATGGAGCATCGGCGTCGACATCGAGATCCGGTCACAGCCCGACAGCGTCGCCTGGTCGAGGGGAGCTTGAGGGCGCGGATGAAGAATGGCAGACGGTCAGCTCAAAGCGCAAAACCTGCCGCCGAGCACAAGAGGCTGTAGCCGATGGTCCTGGACATGCACCTATCCGAAGCGAGCGCACTGGTGTTGCCGATGCAAGTGTCGGAGTTACTGCTGATGGCACGGGCACCACCGCCGAAGAGACAGACAAGAGCAAGTCCAAATCAAAACAGAATGGCAAGAGCTCCGAAGGGAAATTTCGAGAAACGTATCCTAACGATGATAGAAATGAAAGGGCGAATGCACCCGAAAGCGTCGCCCAGGGCAACAAAAACGACGCTAGCATCCTGTTCACAGCCCATCCAGATGAGGCGCAAGTCACGCTTGACGTCCGGCGAAGCTTCACATCTTTCCAGCGGGGACCGTTGGCGAAAGACAGTGCCATACGTGAAGGTCGACGTGCACAGCTGCAGGAGGTGATCGTGCACACACTCCGCTCACACCCGCAGCTCCACTACTTTCAGGGCTACCACGATATCGTGTCTGTGCTGCTGCTTACGCTGTCGCCCGAACATCCACCAGTGCCGTCGCGAATCCATGTTCCTGCAGGCCAAAATGACTTGTCGAACTCGTTGCCATCATCATCAGCCTCATCCTCACCATCAGCCTCGATGTCATCAACCTCGTCGCGCATGCTGAACGGTGACTCCGCCGCCTATTTCGGTGACGCTTGGTGGCCGAGTTCAAACGATGCATCGCTTGTCAAAGCAGCCGTCGCGCGCCTGTCGCTGCACTTCATCCGCGACAGCTTTGCATCGACACTCGATCCCGTCTTGGGACACTTGGCTGTCCTCCGCAACGTCATTCGCAGCGCTGCTAATAGCTTGACGGAGGAACAAAAAGGCACAGACCAAAAAGCACATGATGATGTGTCAACATTGCCTGCTCAGCTGGGAGAGTTGGCTCAATTGACCGAGCGCGCTTCCCCGCTTCCTTTTTTTGCGCTCTCATGGGTGCTCACGCTCTTTACTCATGACGCCCCTTCCCTTCAAATCAGGCAGCGCGTGCTTGATTTCGTGCTTGCTCATGGTCCTACTAGCACCATTTACCTTTGCGTGGCGGTGAGTGTCAGCACCTTACAGTAAGCATACACCACGATCATCTGATTATACCATCTGCATACCCACCCCCGCCCGCGCATGTACAGATTCTCCTAGCTAAATTGCCTGCTCTCCAGTCACTTGACGACGAAGAGCGGGGCGACCCTGCGGCCCTGCATCACCACCTTTCGAAGCTTCCGCGCCTACGCGCTGATCTGCCTCCAGCGGCAGAAGCTGAAAGACGTGTGCACCGAGAGCAGCGTCAGGAGCTGCAGCATATGCCTGCAAAGGAGCGGCTGGAACGGGAACAAGGGGAGGAGGCGGCGGCGTGTGAGGATTTGTCTTTCAGCGATCCTGATGTCTACACGCTTGCTGAAAGGACGCAAGACCTGACGATGGACCGCCCCGTTGGACTGCGCTCTGCCGAAGAGTTGTTCGCTCAAGCAGGTAACAATGCACCAGACGAGGCAGACCCTGACAGCGAAGAGGAGGAGAACGGAGAAGATGCGGAACGAGGCAGCGGCCTGGCGATCTCTGAGTTGTTCGTGCAAGCATTGGCTTTGCAAGCGGCCATTCAGAAGTCACCGCTAGGGTCAGGAGAAGCAGGCCTACAGAGTCCTGTCGAATCCGTTATGCTTCCCGACAGTGTCTTACGTACATGGTCGAGTCTGCTCGGGCGTGCATCGCCGATGCTTCCAGATGGCCCGGGTCAGCAAGAGATTGATTGGCAAGTAGAGGACGCGAGAGCAATGCTGATCGTCAAGAGCGCGGACAATGTCATCCAGGCTGGCGCCCTGGTGGCGAACGTCGCGGACGTAAACGTCTGCAGCGATGATGACGAGCTGGACGGACCAGGGGAGAAAGAGGGAGAGAAGAAGCACAACCAACAGGTCAAGGTGGCAAACAAAAGCAAGCGCCGTAAGCGATCCGGCGTTCCTGGCACCAATCTGGCGCTCGGCGTAGCGACGCTCGCGGTCGGTGCGGCCGGCGTATTAATCATGGTGAAAAATCAGCGTGGCGGCGATGCGGCGTACAGCCCAATGAGCTTAGGATACCCTGTTGGCCACACCGCGCAAGTCGGACGTTACGCGATCAGTGCTGCTGCGGATGTGCTGAGACTACTCGGCAATCTTGCTTCGCGGCAGTAATGTGCGCTTATCACCGCAACTTAATCGGCAGCGAAGGGCCTGCTAGTACATTTACAAGCGGACCTTGCCCGTCCTCGCGTCTGGTATTTCTCATGCTCTGGTCACAATGTATGCTACAAAGGTAAATGGGACGAATCGTCGTTCACATAATCGTGCATTTGCAGCAGCCGGCACCATCATCGTCGTGTTGCCAACGTGAGTCCGGTCGCTTGTGCGGATGTGATGCTGGGGATGTAGTGGTATTGATTAAAGGAGTCGTTGTGTGTGGTACTGGTTGATGTGTTCGTTGTGTTGTTTGGCCTGATGTGAAGGAATGCATTGGTATCGAATCTTCGCCTCCGGAAGGTTGAGCATGTAGCTTTGTTGACGTTTGGCCCGCCACTGCCGACTGATCTTGCCGCTGTTGCTCTCTCTCCACTCCACCCCTTTCCTTTCTATCGTTCGACTCCCTATCTCCTTCTGTGTCTACTTGCACCTTTGCTTGCTCGCGTCCGATCGTTTGATCTTGTTCCTGCGCTTGGACTTTCCGGCTCGCCTCCATGGCACTCAAATTGAGCGGCAGACCATCGCGATCCCACGTATCGATCAACCCCTCGACCCTGCTAAGCCTCGGATCGCCGTCAAGCAGGCGCTGCTGGCGGAGGCGCTTGGCCACCGTCGGGATCAGCTCTTCATCCCAGGGATTCGCGCTGGTGGATAGAGGCAAAAAGTCGTTGGTCTCGGCTGCTCGGCTTTCGGACGCGATCCGGCGGCCTCCAGAAGGGGCTGCGTGTGGAGAAAGTTGCAGCATACTGCCTTGAGAGTGAGAGTTGGAAAGCCCTCCTTTCACGTAATTCGCTCGCCACTGGTTGTGTCCGCCACCATCCGGAAAAATGGTTGCATTCTCTAAGCCCGTCGTCCCCATCGGGCGAGGTCTTGATGAGGTCGGCACATCCTCTGCCGACGCCTCGCTCCTCGAAAGCAATTCGTTGGCGAGGGTGACGGCACGTATTCTCGAGCCTTTCGTCTGAGATCGTGCCAGGTATGCTTCTTCGCCAGCACCGCTGGGCTGACGCACACCACCAAGTGGGCCGAACTCCTCCAGCTCATCTGCTGTGGGTCTACTGCGTGCCAATTTTCGCTTCGCAGATGCGTTTAGGGCGATCGATTGGGATAGGGAAAGAGATGTATCCTCGAAAGCAGCGTGCTTGTTGTTCAGATTCCCATTCGAAAGGATTTCAGGACTCGATGACGAATTGGTCATGCCGAGCTTCTGTTGCTGTCCGACTCGCTCGTCGCCCGCCTCCTCGTGCGCGTCACGGGATTTCGACGTAGCTTGTACCCTGGCAAACTCTCGTTCTTGTTGCTCTCGCTGCCTACGTCGAGCTTCCTCTAGAGCTCTTTTGACTTGAGGGCTTGCCCTTGAAGTGCTAGCGCTCTTCGTACGCAGTCTTGCGGATTCGCGCGTGGGTGAAGGCGTGCACAACTGACGACCTTGCAACTCCGATGCACCTTCTTGTTTGTTCCCCTGCGCATTCACGCCTCCATTTGTACTATTTTCGGGCCGATAACCGTCTGTTACAGCAGCATCTTCAATTCGTACAGGCTGAGAGACACGCGGAGCCGCAGGCTTCGATTTCGAAGTACCAAGAGGGGGGACTGCCGCAGAAGCCGTGAGTCCCGATGGTCCTCCGAGAGGTGGCCAGGCCGACTGACAGCCGTCGGACGGCTCTATTCGGCTTTTGCGCTTGAGCAAGATTGCACTTTCAGTTTCCAACTTCTTCCGTAGAGCGGGTACGATCTGTTCCTCCCAAGGCAAGTCTTGTTCTCGTGGTGGTCGCGACATCGTTCCCGTCGTGGAAGCCGCAGATCCATAGTAGTCGTCCCCTCCGTGACGATACGAGCCATTGAGAGTGGCGGCCATCATTCCAGATGCGGATGGAGGTCCAGGTAGGACCACAATTGTGAAAGGCTAGGGGTCGGGGCGTGGCGCGCGAGGATTGGCCTTGATGCGAGAGGCAAGTGGGGGCCGACCTGCTACCAAAGGCCAGCCCAGTCGCTAGGGGCAATGTGCCATCGCTAGGATCTGCACAAGCCTTGAAGAAGACAGGAGGGAGATCTGTCGATCGCGAAGCCTAAAGAATGCCAGCTTCATCGAAACAATTCTTAAGTATAGTTGCAGGATGGTGTTGGATCGGGGGTAGGACACTTGTAAGCAAGGTCTTCAAGACCGTTGCTTCATCTGTCACTGTCACTGTATGATGAGCGCGCGTGGCGCCACGCGCTCCTGCAATATGATTTCAATCCCTTGAAAGGGGGCTCTTCGATCTTCAATTCCTCAAGAACAGACAACGAAGCTCTTCAATATTGGGCCTCTTCGACTTTTTTACACGCTGTCATGCTGCGAACGCAGGTGCAATTGCGCACAGAAGAATAAGTAAAGCATCGGATTGCGGCTGTATAACGTGCACAGTAAATAGTGAATGCAGACCTCAGTCCCTTGAAGAAGACCAACGGCGCCGACGCCTCAGTCTGGCACCTCTCTTCCCCCATAGCACCTTTCTCCTCAACAATCTTGGCGCCCTTGCCCCATGCTTTCGCCTTGGGCCCTCAACCCACCGGCACACCCCACATATGTACCGGCGAGAAAACTGGCGGCCCATCGTGCCCACGTCACTTGCCGACCGGACCTGAAGTGAACCCTGCACCATCAGAGGAGGCAGCCTCGCCATCGAACGTCGATTGTGTGCTTTCCCGATGGTTGTGAGAAAAATTCCGTCCGCGAAAGTGACCATTTCGTTGCTGGCTTCCTCTGCAAAGTTTGAGGGGCGTTCAAAAGTGGCTCCAGCAAGGCGTGGAGCACGCGGACTTGCACCACTGCGATTGCTCTGCGCTGAGCCTTTCTCCGTGCCGTGCCAGGTACTCGTCTCGCTCTCGATCAATGGACGTCACGGCTTGCATTTCATCCATACCGGACGACCAATTTCGTACAGATGCGAGACGGCGCGCTGGAAGGCAAACTTCTCATCCTCTTCGGAGAAGATGGCGAGGTGGTGAATGTGATAGAGCCATCAGCATTGCGGGACGCTGTGCAGGCCTTCTCTTGCAAATTGCTCACGCAGCTCGGCTCCGTCTTGTTGGCAGTCCGAGAGCCGCATGCAATGACATTCTAAGAAGCGATCCTGGGAAGAATGTCAGTCAATTGAATGCACCTGAAAACCCGGCCTAGCGATCTCGTGTCTCACTGGTCTGAAACTCACCTCTGCATCCAAGGCTGTCTCACTGAGCGTCTCACACTGGAGCAGAGTCTCACTCATCAACTCATTCATCTGCATGCGTTGTACATTCGTGCGCCTCCGCTGCTTGAGATGCTCCCTTCTTCAGGCCTCAAGAACGAGCGGTGGGCGCCGTGTGCGGATATGTCGACGACGTCGTCCGGCTCGCAGCTTAACATCTCAGCGTTGATGCCCTGAAGCTGGAACGGGTTTTATTTTGCATTCTTGACCGCATCGGGGAAGAACAGATTGTCCGAGGCTGCAGCGACGCTGAAAATAAGCTCCGTTCCCGCCTCGTAGGCTGCATCGAGGAAGGTCTTGAGGTGGCATGCCAGGGTTTGAGCACAAGCGGAAGCTGTGGAAACTCTGTGACTATAATGTTGCGGTATGTGGAGGGGAGAGTTAGGTAGTCTGCTGGTCCAAGCGGAGAGTCGCAGAGCTCGCTGAACGAGAAGCGTACGACCGAAGTGCCGCCTTGCGGGGAGGATGAAAGGACGCTGAACGATACGGTGACGCGTTGGCCGTAAACTGTTATGTACGATGGCTCGCCGCCCCGCCTGCGAGAGAGTTTCGACTGCTCGAGTAAATGCTTCAGGTTGTGAAGTCAAGAAGTAGGACGCCAGTGCCCTCTTCTTCTCTGGACCGTTGGTTTGGTTGGCACCGTCTTCGACCTCTGCACTTGAGGAGTGGTCTGTTTCTCCTGCGCCAAGATCGTCCAGGAATCGTTGCCAACACTTAGCCGGTATGCACCTAAAGCATATCTAACCCCTCATTTCGACAACTTCGCAGCGTTCTTTGAGTACCTCGAGGAAAGCTGTGAACCCCCTCCTCTGTATATTGTTTCTGTACCGATCATCCGAACGGCGATTCCTCGTGGCAACGACCACGCCTCCGTGGCGCCAGTACGCTTCCAATACGCGCCGGAGTATTCCCGCTGAAGCAACTTCAACCAGCTGCACGTAGCCAAAGAGAATGACAAAGCCGTGAGTGAGGAAATTGCGCGAGGCAGCGTGGAATGCCAATGTCGTATGCTTTGGGAAGTAGAATTACCTGCAACTGTGGCGAGCATTTTGGACTGAGCTCCTTCTCGCCGTGCAATCTTTAGATCTTCTATGCTTCAATCTCTAGTGTTCTCAGCTTTTAGGAGAGAGAGAATCCGGATGGAAACAGTGCAATCCTTTCAGCACGTGTCGCCAGGCTTGCGCTTTGCCCTCAAGCCCGCCACGCGTCCACTAGACACACGCTCCATCCTGCGGCTGGACTGTAGCTCGTGATCCGGCTTGGATTAAATTTCCGACAGCAGAGTCACCAGAAGAAGTGGATAAGGGCCTTGTGGAAAGCGTTTCCGGTCCTGACATGCTTACCTCAGAATCCTCGCGCGCCGTTGCACCCGGGACAGGCGGGGAAGGCCACCACGCAGCGCCTTCCGACATTTCTCGGCTTCGAGTCGGATAACACGGTAAACATGGAGTAGGCGGTGGCGGTAGTTTTGCCTACAATGGATTCACAAGCAAATGAGCACCCTGTGTCAGCGCCTTCGCTGCTAGTGATCTTACCGGACTCTGCACCTGACGGGCAGTGCTTCTTAGAAGATATCCATGCACATGCTCTTCCTAGTGCTATGTGGGTCAGTAATCATTAGACCGCGTGGAATACCCGCTTCTTTGAGCATTCGACTTAGGATCTTGGCCCGTTGAGGGTTGTGACAGCCAGCGTGTCAGAGCTGTGATGTCTGCTGGGTTCGTGGCTCTTACTTCGGTAGCAGTAAAGGTGGATCTGGAGGAGTGAGAGGGTTCAGGTAGGATACTGAGGATATTTTCAGGTGCCGTCCTGCAATTTGCGCGCCAGATTGCGGAGCTGCTCAGTGAGAGCCAGGAAAGCAACATATCGTGAGCAGCCGTGCGGGGGACAATCGCGCCTACGTAGGCAGTACAACTCACGGTAGTCATGGCCCTGAGTTGCTCGTCATCTTCCTCCCGCTCTCCATTTTCTACTTTGGCATTATAAATCAAGAATGTATCAGTGATCTGAAGAGGATTGGAAGCAGCAGCGGCTGGTAAACTTGGAACTAAAGTCACCATGTGCCGGTGGCGTCCCAGAGGTCGCACATGGTCTGCTCACAATTTCGCAAGGAAGCTCCTGGTACACCTTGAAGCCGAGACGATAGTCATCCTGGATGATTTGTAGAGAGCGTGGGTGACCTTGAGGATGTAACTTTTCAGCGGACTCTTTTCTCCAAGCCTGAAAGCTTGCCGAGCCGAAGGTGGCTGCATTTGCTTGCCGGCCTGATGGCCCCATGACGTGCACCATGTTGGCCGTTTGCGGTGTGTGAACGAAACAATCCAATGACATGCAAGGAAAGGTCTGGTCTGATAGGCCAGCCGACTCCTGTTCGTTGGGGAAAGGTTAGAGCAAGTGCGGAATTATGCTCAGACAAGAGGCAGCAATGTGCAGCCAGGCCCGCCAGTCGATTAAGAGGCTCCGACACCGCCGACATGCCTATTACCCACAAATTGTTGCCCGTACCAATAAAACACCTTGGCTGTCGCTTTCTCACTAGATCCAGCGAAAGCGTCGAACCGAACACGCCAGATGATGCATACTATCCATTAACGCATGATCAATCGAGCTGGTAGGGGTCATATTGACCAGCTTAGCTCTTGCGCAACCAATTGCGTCAGAGGCAGCTCGACGGTTATGATAAGCAGTGTGAGATAAGATCACGTGATCAAGTCTGCCAATCTGTTAGTGGAATGGTTGAGACGCGTAAGTATGGGGGAGTCCCCGTATTCCATCGAAGCTATCTTTGATTGTGGGCTGAACCGTACGCGACTCGCGAGTTGACAACAGGATCCTGGATGGACCAGCACGAGGAGTTTGAATTCTAGATTTCCAGCTCCCTTGTACAGCATCTTGTCCATCTACATGTGCCATTCTCGGTCTCCCCTGCGCTCTGCACGCGCTACCGGAGCGCGTCTCGTCTAGGCAGTTCAGAGCCATGCAGAAGTGACCTTGCTGGCGCTAGAATCACGCTTGATCCTAGCCCAGTCGACTCCGTTCCGGACTCCAATCATATCTACAACCGTGCGCGTTTAACGCTCGCTCATCAACAATCAGATCCTTGAGAAGGCTTAAGTCACTCCAATACCTACCAAGCGCCTCATTGCTGGCGATTGCAACAGTTGCTGATCGAAATGCCATCCGTTCGAGGCGCAGGGGCTCAAGCGGCCCACAAGCGCGTCTTCGTAGCGGCCTCTGACTCCGCGTCATCTTTCGCTTCCACAGCGCCTAGCATCAGTCACATGGCCGGTCCCTCTGGACGAGGCGCCAGCTCGATACCAGCAGGCACCAGCATCGGCTCGGGTTTCGCAGCTTCTAACATGGCGGGCCCCTTGTCCACCGCAGCGCTCGCGAGCGCCTATCAAGAACTAGGCAAGGAGCTTTCCTCTTCACGCCTTCGTTCGATAGGCAACTACACACTCGGCCGCCCGATTGGGGAAGGAACATTTGGAAAAGTGCGCCTCGGCTCTCATCGTCTAATCCCCAACTCGCGTGTCGCGATCAAGCAAATCCCCAAGTCCGCCGGTGCGATGCAGTCGCTCATCCGAGAAATTCATCATCACCGGCGTTTGCACCACCCGCACGTCATGCAGCTATACGAGGTATTGGCGACGGAGAACTACATCTGGATGGTGTCAGAGCTTTGCGCAGGGGGAGAACTCTACGACTACCTGATCGAATCGCCAACAGGCTGCCTTTCGGAGCACGAAGGTCGCAGGATCTTCGGCCAACTCTGCCTGGCCGTCGCCTATGTGCACGACAAAGGAATAGTCCATCGCGATTTGAAGCTGGAAAATGTGCTACTCGACGAGAGGTGCAACGTCAAGCTGGGCGATTTTGGTTTCACACGCGAGTTCGAAGAGAGACGCTTGATGGACACTTTTTGTGGTACCACTGGATATGCAGCGCCGGAGATGCTTGCGGGAAAGAAGTATTTAGGCAAGCGTGAGTAGGTCCTTCCTCGTTTGAAAAGTTGCGTCTAATAACGCCATACTCCTGGAATCTGCTGTTTGTAGAGGTCGACCTTTGGTCCCTAGGCATTATACTGTACGCCCTACTCTGTGGTGCCTTACCTTTCGATGACGATGACGAGGAAGTCATGAAGGGAAAGATCCTCCAAGGCGAATTCGAGATACCTTCCGGCTTAAGCGAAGGTTTGTTCTGTCTTGTGGATGGTTCTTGCCTTGGCAGTCACACTTAAAACGTCTTGATTGCTCACCTTTCACGCAGAAGCGACAAATCTGATCACGTCCATCCTGGTAAAGAACCCGTCTTCGCGTCCGTCGATTCCAGAAATTCTTTCTCATCCCTGGTTCACCAAGATCATCCCCCCAGCTTCTGGGTTAGCAACAACGCAGACAACAGCGACGAGCGCGATGGGCATGACCACAGTCGATGAAGACCCCTTTTCATCATCGCCTTCAGTTTCCGCATCAGCATCCGCGGCGAACGTCAGCTACCTCTCGGCTATCGGCTATGGCGATGCCGATACGGATGCTGAAGTAGCAGGCAGCTCCGAGTACGATTTGGGCAGCAGTCTCAGCCCCATCCAGAGTCGAACCTCGGAGACCTCAGGCATATCGTTCTTGAGCGAGGCTGAGCATTTCCTGAGGAGTGAAAGAGATCGTGGTGATGACGTCTCTGGCTTCGCACATGATGGCAATAAATGCGCCGAGTTCGGAAGCAAGCGGAAGGGTGCGAAGCGGGAACGACTTGATGGCAAGGAGCTGCCGCAAACACCACTTTCTCTTCCGTCACCTCCCGAGACCAAGGACGTAGAACAAACTAGTCCAAGCGCGCGTGCGGTCGCCGGCGTTGATTCATTGATGTCATTATCTACCACCTGCAACTGCGGCAGTAGCAAGAGGAGCAAAAGACCAAGCCTCGGTTCTGCGCGCAACGATTCACACGCAACTTTACCGGGCACAGCCCTGAAGCGGGAAGGCTCGATAGGGAGTGACGGCTCGTCGAAGGTCCCTCACGGCAACACGGCTGCTTTGAGAGAGCTTCCGACGCATACGGAGAGCGTCAGCGCTGATTCTTTCTCCACTTCAGACTCGGTACTGAACACGCCGGAACAGGAAAAAGACGATGAAGGGCAAGAGAGAGTGGAGGACAATCAGGAGCCAGACAAATGCGCTGCGCCTGTATTACCCAGCTCGACATCAGCACCACCAGAGTGCAACCACTCACAGCATTCAAATCGCGGTGCTGGCAATGGTGGTCACCACCGCACTCCATCACGTTCCAAACGACGCTCAACCTCCTCAGTTGTTCTCTCTGATCACCACGCACCGACACCCGACTTGTCCGGCAGGCCTGAGGACTATTCCGCGCTCCTAAAGCTCTTGCAGCCTACGTTATTTAGTACGCTCGTCGAGCAGAATCTGCTCGCTAGCTTATCGGCGCTGGGCTTGGACGTCGGACAGGTCGTCCACAGCGTCATGAACGATGCTTGCGATTCGAGTGGTGCGCTTTGGTGGCTGCTCAAGAGGAAGGCAGACGAGAAGCAGGCACTGCTCATGCAATACAATACCGCGCTTGCGACTAGTATTGGCCAAGCCGCTTGTTCTTCTCCCTCAATACAGCCTATATCGACCTTTGGAACCAGGCCAGCGTCAGCAGGGTCATCAACCAACACTTCCATTGCGCCTTCCAGCCTCCCTCCCGTCCCGGACTCTACCCTGGAGATCCTTTCGGGCCTCGGAGCGCCGCCGGTGCCACCCAAAGAGTCACTGAACGACCTCTTTAAAGTCAGGCCCTCCCAGCGCAGTAAAGACTGCAGCTTCTCAGGCCCGCTGCCGCCTTCTCTTTCGCGCTCCAAGAAAAATATCTCTTCTCTCGTGGATCAGTCTAGCTCCTCGACGGGCTCCGATACAACGCCACGGCGAAGCAAGACGATGATCGCTGCGAGTGTTGGTGAGACGAGCCACGCGACTACTCCAAGCGAGACTCTGGAAACGCCGCCTCCAGACAAGTCTTCCCGCCCAGCCGCTCCTGCAGCTACCCGGCAACGTTCGACGTCCTTTACTATGCGTCAGCTCACGAACGTGCTGGCTGGAATTTCGAAAGAGCGGCTCGTTGATGAGGATGCGTCTGCATCGAACAAGTTAGAGCGGTCCAAGAGTCCTAGCTCTGCGCTGTTTAGCAAGCGTCCTGGGGTGGGTCAAGTCCGACGCGGTTCCAAAGATGATTCGCCCAGCATGACCGATTCGCCGAAGAAAAATGCGCGCACGCCTGAACTGTCACCGCGCGTCAGCTCTATGCGATTGGACACCTTGGATCCCGTGACCGATCAGTCCACTTCTCCCAGCAGCTCGGCAATCAGTGATGCGCGCAACACGGCACTCTCATTTTCCGTCTCCATGAATTCCGTTTCAACCGCTGCATCTACGACCAACACCGTCGACACTGGCAAGTCGAAGTTCCGTCGTTCCAAGTTCATGGCAACTGTGCGCACGTGGCTCGGATCGGAAGGCAAGCCAGAACAATCAAACCCTTTCCCAGCGAAAGGTAAAAAAAAGAAGAGTGGTAAGCTTGGACAAGAGTCGGCTTCGCTCGCACCCATTCAGGTTGGAAGCATGCGAAAGCGGTCCGCGCCATATCCTCAAGGCTCGATGCGAAGGGTCAGCGGTGTGCCGCATAGCCCCATGCGCGCAAGCGTCAGTCGTATGAGCTCTTCCAACAGTATTTACAGGAGACCATCCACGATTCGCAGGCAAAGTGCGAGCACGATTGTTCTTGCCGCTACAGGTCAAGATGGTATCGGAATTTCTGTCCGGCAGAACAGTCGCCCGTCGAGCATCCATTCCGTGGGACGTAAAGCTTCGGGCCTGCACGGAAGAAAGGGGTCTGCTAGTAGCTCTGGCTCAGGAGTCAAACAACTGCGAGGAGAATACGCCGGGAGCCTGCGCCATCGTCGGCGAGCTAGTTCAGAAGGCGGTACAATTGTCCAACGGCACCGCGTTTACTCAACCAGCGCAAGCCACTCGCGTCGACACTCGAAGACAGACTCAGCCGAGTTGACGGGGGCTGAGCTTGATGACTCCTTGGCGGCTGAAACTCCGCGGCTATCGCATGCACCGCGCAAATCATCTGATTCTCGAGAGGGCCACGAAAACTACGGAAGCGGGCATTTCAAGACCCAATTTTTGGCGCACAAAACCCGCACGAGCTTCAAACCGCCGACTTCTATGAACATATCGTCCAGCAAAGAAGGTGCACACGGCCATGGCAACGGACACGGCCATTCGCACTTGCAGCCTCACGTTCCCACTTGGATGCGGAGCTGGGGCAAGCCCCCGCCACATTGGGAAGGCCGCATCGACGATGAGCCTTCCAAGAGCGAAATCATCGACACTCTTCGGCCCAAGCTCCGGGACGTCTTTGCGCAGAGTGAAGATGACGTGTGGGAAGACGAGGACGAGGAGCCGGCGTACCTTGGTGGCCTTGGCCAGACGGCAGCCAGCAGCGCCATGGCGAATTGGACCTGGGGGAGCCGTGCTGCTGCCGACTCGCCGTACGCAAGCCGAATCTTACTGGGGTCCGGCTCGATAAATGCTGCTGATGAAGTCCGCCCGAAATCCATGCGCTCGCTCTTCACTCCACCCTCGCTCGGGTCTGAGACTGCACCGAGGATCATTTCTACGTCTGCTCCATCATCGGACGGGCTTCCTATTCAAGGTGAGGCCGGCGCAAGCACCCTCGCAGCGCTATCTGCTGGCAGCCGCATTCGGACGGCAGCTGCGCCAACATTTAGGCCGACCATTGAAGAAGAAGAGGAAGAAGATTAGGAGCCTTCAATGTCCTCGCTTAGATACGAAGGGCACGATACCCAGAGGGTTAATTCACTCTCTTAGATACCCCGAAAATAGTTTGCAACAGCACAGTCCATCGAAATTGCATGAGCATTTATCATTCAATGAGTATCGTGCGTCAAGCCGGAAGGCTGTGACCTCGTCCTGGGCAAGTCTGTGTAGAAGCTGGGCTCCATGAGCTCCTCACTGGGTAAGTCAGGAGTGAATGCAAGCAGGGGAGCCGTCGGCCTTTCGCTCGGAGACGGAGATCGCTCCCGCGCCGATTCGTTTCGCGCGTCGCCCACAGGTTCGCTCTGTGATGCTGCATCAAGCGGCGTGCTCGAATGTAGGATGTTGGTAGCGGCGGACGGCAAGGCCTTGCACAAGGGCGAGCATTCAGCGGGGGTAAGTGACTTGGGCTCTCTGCGTGTCGGTGAAGTGGAAGCTGCTGTTGCTGTTGCTGTTGCTGCTGCTGCTGCTGCAATACGCGCCTCCATCAGTTGCCAAGGATCGTGGAACAGCTTGCTGGTCATTGCAGCAGCCTTGAGAGCAGCCCCGCGCCGCAAGCGTTCAGGAGCAGGGGCGAGCTGCATGGGGACCGCGTTCGCTTTCCCCCTTCCCGAAGCGAATGGACCCTTGGGCCGAGCTGGAGATTCTGCCGACGTCGGCGTCTCGTTGTCCTTGAGATTTGCAGCCGGCACACGAGTAAGAGAAGTGGCGGTGACTTCTTTCTCTTCCATGGAGCCTGCTTGTGGCTTGGATTTCGTTTGCAATTGCAGCGTTACCCCTCGGATTCTTTTGCGTGCGGGAAGAGCAGAACCTTTTGAAGGACACGATGCAATTTTCTTCGTTCTTAGAGGGTGGACAGTACGCACACCTGCTCGCTGAGGCGGCGGAGCGCAGGAAGAAGCCGCGGGATTGGGAGATCTGCAAACTGGTGCAGGGTCCGGTGTTGCCAGCCGTTCTTTGCCGGGACAGGGAAGCTGCACCTCCTCGGGATAACCATCCAAGACGGCCGCGATCGCGCGCAGCCTTGAAAGCAGCGCTTGGCGCGACATGCGCTCGCCCGTGGCCGTGTGGCTGCCGTTGACGCTGACGTCTGCGAGCTGGCGCATGAGCACGAGCAACGCCATGGCGTCCGGTCGCAGTGCAAATTGCATGAGCGTATGCTCCAAGCCTGTGACTACACTCGCGCCTGCGACTGCACCTCCTTCACTGGGCAGTGAGTTCCTCGACATCTGCCCAGCGAGCTGCGGGTCACTTCCTTTGCGCGGGGTCTGCAGATCGGCGAGCGGCTCTAGGAGGAGGGAATCGAACTCATCTTCGGAGGCACTGCTCGCTTCTTGAGTTCTTAACTGAGGTCCGGGATCCCGAGGACCACGGAGGGCGTCGGCGTCTGAACCATTGGTAGTCGCTGGCCGACGGACTGCAGCAGCAGCGGGAGGATCGAACCCAGCGAAGCTTACCCGAGCCCGCTTGGTAGCTGGCGGAGCGTCCGGCTTGCGCAGCGCAGAAATATGGCGCAGGTCAGGCTGCGCCTTCGTAGAGCTACGAGGCACTGGAGATGCGTTCTTTCGTCCGGTCGTTGTAGGCTCATATTGTGCACGTCCAGCGGTACGCTTCGAGGTGTTGGTAGATGTGGAAGCAGCAGCGTTGGCTTCGTCAGAAGCAGCAGCAGCAGAAGTCGAAGCTTTGGACAGCTGCAGGTTCCTTGGTCTTTTCGTCGAGACTGGCGCCAAAGCCTCGCGTCGCTGTGGCCTCTGTAGCGATGCCCGCGCATGCTCGTTCGCACCATGGTTATCCTCGTTGCGCAGACCCGCATCAGGTACGCACGAGTGAGCCTTTGAAGATTTTGTATGAGTCTCAGCACGATGATAACTCTCTGCTGTACCGGAGTCCTGCCATTTCTGTGCTCCGCATTCGTCTCCGTGCCCATCTCCAGCCCGGCGTACTCCTTCACTCTGCCTGCCATCTCTAGCCGTGAGCACCGCATCGTCTTCTTCTGAGCGTGAAGCATCCGACAAGCGCATTGCGCCTGACAGCAGAGCCTTCTTCGTCGCCTCCCTCCGCAGGCAGATGCGCGGACCGCCGTGCTGCCGGCGGTCCGCATCGTCAAGGACATCCCCTGCTTGCGGCTGGCTTCGTCCAGAGCCTGATTGGGCTTCGGTCGAATGTGCACCTGGGGCGCTGCGCTGATTTGATAGCGATAGCACTGTAGGTGGAGAAGCGGGACTGGCGTACTTGCCGTCCGGATCCTCATTCTCGTCCTCATGCTCATGCTGCACCATCCACCATGGCCGAGCAGGAGCAGATCTGCGCTCCCGCGTTGCCCTTCGCAGACTGTCGTGATCTCGATTCATGGAGGCGGCCGACCGTCCTTTCACTCTTGCTTCTCCGCCTACAGCTCGGCGCGGAGAGACGCCATCGCGCGATGTCATGGTTGTCCGACTTGCTTGTGCTCGTGCTGACGCTCCAAACGCTGTCATTAGAGCACTATCTGCCTCAGTGTGCTCGGACACCATGGGCACGGCATCAGCTGAAGAGACACTGTGCACTGCATCGGCCTCGTAGCCCGACTCGTTATCGGAGCCGATGCGCCTGCACTTGTCGGACCGGGTCGTCAATGGCTCGGCACTGGATGCCGCGTTCCTCTTGTTGCGTGCAGAGTCGCGGCGCTTGCTGCTCGCGGTAGCAGCAGCACCTTTCCTTACAGGCTTTTGCGTCTGCGCGCGCACATTCGCAAGCCTGCGTCCCCACGCGAGCGTCCCGACGAATTTGGCCCAGAGAGAGCCCGGGCCCGGGCCCGCGCTTGCGCTTACACCGCTCGCACGCAAGTGGCTAAGGCTCTTCGTCGGCGACTGTGATTTAGCGAGCGGGGGCGACTCGGAAAAGCTGCTGCTGCTGCGTCGGCTCTTTACGTTGCCTTGCGCTAGCTGTCGCTGCCGCTGCTGCTGTTGCTGCTGCTGTTGTTGTCGACGACGCCGCCTCTGCTGTGCGACGCGTCCGCTCGCGGCCACAGCAGACCGCGCTCTGCTCTGCTTCTTCTTCCTCGGCGCCGGCGTCGACACAGTCTCCTCCTGCGGTTGGGCTAGCCGTGGCTGCGACGAGCCCCACAGCCGGCCAAGGATGTGGTCGCGGAAACGCTGTGCGCGCGCCTTGCGCTCGCGGGCCTTGCGCGCGTCAGCGCGGCGTGCGAGCTGCGCCGTGCTCGGCTCGCGGCGGCGCCAGTGCTCCGGGAAGGGCAAGAGTGCGTGAGTGGGCGCGGCGCGCCCAGAGCCATGCGCATCATTCGCGATCTGCAGGCACGCGGCGCGCGTCGGAGGGCGAGCATGCTGCTGCTGCTGTTGTTGCGCTGCCGATGCGCTGTCAGCGTGTTCAATCGGAAGATACGAATGCCGAGATGGAGGTGGCGTGAGGAGCGCTTGAGGCGCTAGGTGGATGTTTCTGGCAGTAGGATGAGCTACACATGAGTGCCCGCTGCTGCTGATGCCGCACGATCGGTGCTTGCGGATGTGAAAGTGGAAAGACAAGACTCACCCCGATGAATCGAGCCACGAACCCTTTGCGACGTCCTGGAGCCACTCAACATCGCGCTCGGGTAGCATGTTGGCTGCAAGCGTCACGAAGAGCCTCTCCGCGCGCGCCGGATCGGTTGGGCCAGGCCGACCTGCGTCCATCTGATGAGCGTCACCAGAGTGCTGTGCAGCTGGTTGCAGCGGCCTGACAGAGTCCTCCTCTTGTTCTTCGGGGAAGCTGGAGGGCACGATGGATTCTTGCGTGCCGCCCTGCGCGCCTGCGTCAGTACTCGCTGCTTCTGATGGCGCTTCACCGACAAAGCCGCTCAGCTTGAGCAAGCGCGCAAAGGCGCGTTTCTCTACAGCGTTTAAGCGGCTATTGACGCGTCGCCTAGAGGTGGAAGCAGAAGTGAAAGAGGCATTCGCGCCGCCAGCTTGGACGGCAGCAGCGTCGAACGACGCTGCGCCGGACGCTGCATGTTCATTTGCCTCAGCGGGAAGGGCCGGTTGAGTGGTGGGATGCTGTTCTTCGGCGCCGCGAGCACAGGCTCGCTGCGTGCCTAGCGCTGTGCCGTTTGCAGGCTGCTTTTCTGTTGCGTGCTGCTGGGCCGCGCCGGCAACAGCGCCGTCCTCTAGCTCCTTCTCCTGCTGTTCGCTTTCGTAGCCTGCGTGAGTTCGCGTGTCTTGCGGGCCGTCTGCGAAAGCATTGAAGTTGGCCCAGGAGGGAAGAGCGTTTGGCACATGAGCGGTCGCGTAGCCGTGCAGACGCGTGGTCGGAGCGTGCAACACGTCTGCAGAGGCGCAGTGTAAGCACATGCACCGGAGAAAGTAAGAGACAGGCGAGGCGGGCGTGTAAGCGAACGAGCGAGCATTCACTCGGATCTTATACAGGGCTCAAAGTGTAATGTGTACAGTGCTGTCTCACCTTGTGCACTAGGCCATCGTCCATCGGGCAAAGCATGGCGGCTGCTACTGGCGCTGGTGGTGGTTCTATGCAGACTCCACTCCCACAGCTGAGCAGTGCGTACCATGGCCAAAGTGATGTCGCTGCTGGCGCCGACGCCCCCTTCTCTAGGTCACGCGTATGGGCACATGCTTCGTCGTTCGGGCAGGCACCATCTCCGGGAGCGAGCACCGACGCTATATTTAAAGTGGCACACACGCACACACACATTCTCGCTCTCCCTTTCTCTCTATCCTGGGTCCCCAGCGGGGCGTGAACAGCCAAGAAGCATTCTGGTTGTGTCTGGGCTACCTGGGATCTGATTGGAGGTGTGATGGATATGGTGGGCTGGTGGGCTGCAGCGACGGGTTTAACCGGTGGTTGATACGTAACCCTAGAGCCATCCAACCCTACAATGGGGTTCCCCACCTAGGGCACGTACGTGCAAAGAGCAGCGGCTCATCCTCGTGAGAGACCCGCTAGACTCTCTCTGGACTCTCCCTCTGCGACTGGCGTACTGCTTGCTGACTGCTCCCACTTCAATGCAAACAAGTCCGGGCTTCTACCCTTCCGTGCAAGCTCTTCGCAGCCGAGACAAATTGGATCCGGCCAGCAAGATACAGTCATCGCATATACTAAAATAACAGGGGCCCCCCTCTCGTTCGCACGTATCTCATCCTCCGTCCCTGCGGCCCGCAACAGGTAGTGTCGCACGCCACGCCCACGTCACGCGACCGCCCCTCCCGCCCGATCGCAACACCCCTTTTGCTGCTCAGCGCTGCAGTTGCACATATCTCGTCGCACGCCATCTCCTCGCTGCAGACCCGCAGACTTGTCTTGATTCCGTGACGCTATCGCTCTCTCAAAAGAAGGATCGAGAACCGTGAACTGCCTTCGCAATCAAGGAGCTGCTGTGTTGGCACGTGCGAGAATCGCGAACCAACTACGACAGCGACAAAAAGGAAAACAGCAGCGGCCTCGCTCTCCGTGTCTCGTGCTCTCCACACTCGTGACATCGCCAGGGACGTTTGAAAGAGAGAGAGCCTAAGAGAAACAGGGATCAGCGATAAACATGACGGAACCAAGGAGGAGAAAGATCGCCGTCTTGGGCTCGCGATCAGTCGGTGCGTCCGCCTTGGTCGGCAGGTTCAACTCGGGGCTCTACATGGGAAATTGACATTGCCCCCCCTCTCTTTCCTTCCCTTGGCATTCCTTCCATGCACCCGCTCCTCGAATTGCCTGGACTCGCGCGCGCCGACGCTGCACGCATGCACAGGCAAATCCTCTCTCGTCGTGCGCTACGTCGAGGATGCGTTCGTCGACTCGTACTACCCGACTATCGAGAACATATTCAACAAGAAGATCCGCTACAAGGGCCAGGATTTCGACTGCGATATCATCGACACTGCAGGGCAGGTGAGAGAGAGGGGACAAAGGGTGTAGGAGGCGCGCTCATTCGCGATAGCGGCAAAGGTCAGCTGATGCCAAACCAACCTTCCCCCCCCCCGGGGGCCGCGTACCCTACCATACGCTGCAATTCAACGCTGGCAGGACGAATACTCGATCCTCAACTCGAAGCATGCGATCGGGATCCACGGGTACGTGCTCGTGTACAGCATCGCATCGCGCAACTCGTTCGACATGATCCAGACAGTGTACGACAAGATCCTCAATTACACGGGCACCGAGAGCGTACCGTGCGTTATCGTAGGGCAAAAGAGCGACTTGCACGTCCAGAGGTGCGTTTCTGTCAGCGCCCCGTCTTGTCTTTCTTATCATGGCTCGCAGTGGCCGGAACTCGTTTGCTAAATGGCACGCGCTACGTCTCTTTTCTATACCACCACACGAACCCGTGCCATTCCCTTTCGCACAGACAAGTGTCAGAGGACGAAGGCAAGGACTTGGCGCAGCAGCTCAAGTCAGCATGGGTTGAAGTATCAGCGCGGCATAATGCCAACGTCGGTGAGCCCTTTATTGCCCCTGGTCTCCAGCGCGCTTCGCACCTGGCCTGCCTTTGTCGCTGATGTTTCATTTGTCTTTATTCCTTGGGTGCGATGTGGTACAGTCAAGGTGTTCGAGTTGATGCTGCAGGAGACCGAGCGCGAGACGCAGGAGACGGGCAAGGAGCCTGAGCCGTCCAAGTGCTGCGTCATGTGATGTGGTGTCCTGTGATGTGATGCCACGGCAGCAGAGGGCACTTCTCCACTTGTTCCCCCTCCCAGCGTAACACCCGCCCGCCTGCCACACCTGCGATCGACTCGCTGTCGTCGTCGCCTCTTTGTGCGCTTGCACCGACCTCCACCAGATTCCTGTACATCCCTTCGGGCACGTTTGACTTCGTATGGTGATCCATGTGGCCCGAGCCCGGGCACCACGCTATTTCGCATCGATTCTCGATGTTTGGCTTGTTCTCGCAGCTACCTTTTGTTTCTATCTCTTATCGGCTAGACTAGATCCTGTTTCCCCTACCTCCGCCCAGCCCAAGCTAGCTCACTGAAGAGCAGCCACATGTATTGCACTCCCTGTGGGATGCACGGGTGCGGAGGGTAGGCGCCGGCACAGGTGTGGGCGGGGGCAAGTGTAATTTCTTTCCCAACCTCGTGCTTGTACCCGATGAATCCACGTGTCATCAATGAGCGATCAGCAGCAGCAGCCGGTGGCGGCGGCGGCGGCAATATCCAACTTGGCCTCGTATACACATATACTTTGTCCCCTGCACTCGTCACTCGGTACCCATGTAACGCATTGCGCTCACGAGACCACGTAATCGACTCCCGACTGGCTCGTCGCGCGTCCCGCGCGTTGGCCTACATGCGCGGCCCTTTTGCTAGTGGACAGTCTCTGGCCGCTGCTGGCCAATCGCCATGAGTGCATGCTGAATCCAGCGTGGCGTCCGCCGTCAGGCCGTGTTTCTACTACGTATGTACATTACGGGGAGGTTTGACCGAGAGCAGGAGTAGGGGAGAGTAGCTCTTGGAACTCTCGAAACTGACACCTGATGACTGACAAGAGACATGTATGGTGTGTGTTGCCTGACTTGGCCCACCGCCGGAACGGCTGACATCAGCGTGTCTTCCCTCTTGGCTGCCTCCCCGTTTTCGGTTCCGCGATGAGCCTGGACGTGTGAGAGGCGTGGCCACACCGAATAGCGATGACGCACCGATGTCGACGCTCTCGCGTCTCGGCATGCCTGTTGCATGCTCCAACGACCCACGTCCCACGCTCACTTTCGCAGGGGCGTGTGCGGTGCGCTAATAGATCCAGTTTGCTACTACTGAATATACATGGCTGGAGAATGAGAGTAGGGACGGCTGCTCCCACGTGTGCATACACTACTGCTACAAACTGTGCATTGGGTGGGGGCCATTGTCGTCAAGCACCTCGGTCCATCAGCATGTTCCATATCCGCCCGTCGCATGTCCAGACTGAGAGCGTTGCCACGCCGCCTGCTCTCTGAGTTGCGCTACAGCAGCAAAGCCAGTAAGTGGAAGGGTGCACAGTGTTGGAGAGTGGAGACGCGCCGCTCTGGGCTGTGGGGACTCCCTGTATGTGGTATGGTGCCATGGAGCCAGCCAACGACCGCTGGCGAGATGGGCTGTACTGTTCCGCCACGCTTGTTGGTAGTCGTGTGCTTTGAGACGATGTTTTTTTTCGTTCTCCAAAAGTGGATGGCTGTGAAACTGCGAGACGTGAGACGACAGTTGGTTAGCCCAGGCAGTCGGAGGCCAAAAGCAGTCAGCAGACCGTGGTGAGGGTATAAGGGCAGGGCAATGCGGCACAGCCCCTAACGTCCGCTGCAGTGAGGCACTCTCACAGTCAACAGCCTAAGCACAGAAATGCGCACTGGGCCGGTGGCGAGCAAGATCTTGTGGTTGCGGGCCAGATGAAACACACTCCACTAGAGGCAGGCAGTGGACCGGTCCTTTGTCACCCGCAAGGTTTGAGCGG